CACACGCTGGGGAGTAGATTGTAAAATAGTTTGTTTTGTGCTAGTTTCAGGAATTATTCTCTGTGTGTTCCATTTGGGAAGTTCTTTCCTTGGTCTTCTATACCTTCTACTACTATTTAGATTTTAATAATAATAATAATAATAATAATAATAATAATAATAATAATAATAATAATAATAATAATAATAATAATAATAATAATAATAATAATAATAATAATAATAATAATAATAATAATAATAATAATAATAATAATAATAATAATAATAATAATAATAATAATAATAATAATAATAATAATAATGTGTCTAATGCTTGTTTTTACATATATAGAGATCAGGGAACAACTTTGAGAGTCAATTCTTTTCTTTCATATTTGTGGACTCTGGTGATAGAACTCATGTCATCAGGTTTGTGTGGCAGATATTCTTCATATAGACATGGTGACCAGCATTTAACTGGGAACTGGAGAGTGCTTCTCTGCAGACCTCCTGTGCCCTATATTCTGCTCTGTGGAATCCAGTTGCTTTGTTCTCCCTCATGGAGGGGACAGGGGAATTACTGGGGCTGTCATCTAATTCCATCATGAGGAAATTCTACAGGAAGCAAATTTGTGTCACTTTAGAACACAGTTTCCTTGTCATGATTATTGTATGAATGATGCTGTGTTATATATATTTGTCTGGTACATTAATTGCTATACCTCCTATTAGTATCTTCAATACTCCAGTCTTGTTTTTTTTAAATCATTTGTTATTGCTTCCAAAAAGTTTTTATTTTTTATGTAAAGCAACTCTTTCCACGTTGAGAATATAATTCAGTGGTAGAGCATGGCCTTAGCTCACAAGAGACCCTGAATTTAATTCTAGCATTCAAAATAAAACAAAATGAAGATATTTGAATACTTATACGTAATTTATTGATGTTAGGGAATTATATATTAGTACAGAGTTTTGTTGTACCTAAAAACTTGTTAGGGATGTCACTCCACTAGTTCTCTGGAACTAAGACTAGTAGGGAAATATTTAAATTGGAGATAAGATTGATCTACTACTTTGCATGGGGCAAATGGAAATGGTATCGCACATTAATCTATTTTATTTCTCCTGGGTAGCTTTGAAATTCAAACTACATATAACCTCTCTCTCTCTCTCTCTCTCTCTCTCTCTCTCTCTCTCTCACTCACTCACTTTCTCTCTGTTACTTTCTTTCACACACACATATATGCATATACATGATATATATGACTTACCATGATATATATGACACACATACGCATATGGTAATCATTGCCATGTATTTGAAAATGTGTTGTTTTCGAAAAAGATTATGGATTCTTGCTCTAAGATGCATATATAAATAAAGTTTTAAAAGCAGACTTTGAAAAAGAAGAGTTATGTTACAGGTTGATTAAGTAAACTTACCAATGCAAGAGTTAATGGTTATGAAGTTTGAAGCATGTTTCTGGAAATTAAGACAAAAGGAGAAAAATACCATGTTAAATACTTATTGAATGTC